ATTCAACCCTTTCTGTGAATTACTCACCAAACTAAATGAATTAAATGAACAAATTAATTCAAACAAATTACTTGATACATTAAAAATATTAGAAAATTGTACCAGTTGTAAAAAAAATGCTCAAAAAAATTATTTTTATTTATTTTATAAGCCATTAAATAAACTAGAAAAGATCTCAGAAGAATTAGATAAGGAAGAAAATGAAAATAGGAGAGCAGAAATAATCCATCAATTAGGTGATGAATTAAATGAATTAGATGTTGAAATAAATAGAAGGGTATTATGTGATGAATGTCAAAAGAAGAATATATTCAACCCTTTCTGTGAATTACTCACCAAACTAAATGAATTAAATGAACAAATTAATTCAAACAAATTACTTGATAGATCAAAAATATTAGAAAATTGTACCAGTTGTAAAAAAAATGCACAAGGAAATTATTTTGATTTATTTCATAAACCATTAAATCAACTAGAAAAGATCTCAGAAGAGTTAGGCAAGGAAGAAAATGAAAATAGGAGAGCAGAAATAATCCATCAATTAGGTGATGAATTAAATAAATTAAACATAGTTTTATGTTATGGGTGTCAAGTTGGAAATAAAAAAATAGTTATATTTCTTGATGGATGTAAACAAAAAGCAACCAATAGTAATTATATGAAATGGGTTCCATTTAATGAATTTAAAAACATTGAATACTTGGCTAAAGGTGGATTTGGGGAAGTATACAAAGCAATGTGGGTTACTGAAAATAGAAAGATTGTATTAAAAAAGTTATATAATTCCCATGATCAAATTTTAGATATTTTAAGAGAGGTAAATATCAATCTATTATAAAAATTATTATTACTAAATGTAATATTAATAATGAATATAATTTGTAGTTAATAGCAAATTATGAATTTGGACATTTTGTTAACAAATGTTATGGAATTACTAAAAATCTAAATAACTATTTGTTGGTATTTGAATATGCCCCATATGGAGATTTACATAATAATTTATTAAAAAATTTCAAAAAAATTACATGGGAAGATAAAATTTATTCAATGTATTGTATTTCAGAAGGGTGGGTTTTTTGAATTCATTATTTTTTTTTATATATAAATATGTAGTAATAATTATAATACATGTATATTATTTTTTTTATGAATTAGATTAAGGAAAATTCATGAGAGTAATTACATTCATCAAGACTTGCACAGTGGTAATATTTTTTCATACACTCTTAATTATAGCCTAATAGGAGATTTAGGATTATGTCAACAAATAGTTGAAAAAGATAATCCAAATAAAATTTTTGGAGTCATTCCATATCTGGCACCTGAAGTATTATCAAAAAAACCATATACAAAAAAATCAGACATTTACAGTCTTGGAATGATAATATGGGAATATACTTCAGGTAAAAAACCTTTTCATGATAGGGGACATAATTCTTATCTCATACTTGATATTTTAAATGGAATGAGACCTCAAATCACAGATGATACTCCCGAATTCTGTGCTGAATTGATGAAAAAATGTTGGGATCATGATCCAAAAAACAGACCAACAGCTGAAGAAGTTCATAAATGTTTTGGAAAATATTACCCATCTAAAAAAAGAGAAGAGATTATTAAATCAGCAGAAGATAAGCGACAAAAAATCATCAATTCAGAAAATACTTGTTAGATACAAAAAATTACAAACACCACCCAGAATCATTCTATACAAGTCGTCCACTAGATGAATCAATCCAGAAGGCTGAACTGTTAAATTGTTCATTGACTAAATCAGATCAGGATAGTAATATTCATAGCTTATTAATCTCAAAATTTATTGGATGATAGATGTTGATAAAAAGATGATTGTAAAATTTGATTTATTAATTATTATTATTATTATTATTATTATTATTATTATTATTATTATTTATATATTTATAAATTAAAATCATCATATATTTTTCTTTAGGTTGAATAAAACAAATAAAAACATCATATTATTTAACCCTGTTGTAATTAAGTACCAAGAAACAAATGTTTTCTTTATATTATAATATATGGGACTTTTTTTAGCAAAATGACTTTCCCAAAAACTTTATTTTTGCAATGAAAAATAATGTAATAGAAATTTTTTTTTGATTTGCTTAGTAAAAAAAGGTTATAATGTTGGATAACTTTACTATGTTATTCGAAATTTCAGCAACTATATTCAGTGTGTAAAATTGAGTGCGGGCACATATGTTACATTAAAGGTAGCCAATGTAACTATATTGATATGTAAAAATTTAATTTAATAAAATCACAGATTAACCAATTTAACAAACAACACTATGCACTGCCTTTTACAGTCATTGTTTATGATATATATACCTTAAATAATACATGTTCAAAATGAAAAATTACATTTCTTTATTAATTATATAATTATGCATTCATATTTTTGATTAACTAGCACTAACTACTGATTTGTTGCCCAAAAGTTGCATTGAAGTTGAAAATTCCAACCTTGTAGATAACACCTTATTTAAACCTATATATTTGTTAAAGTATCTGGGTTAATGAACTAATGCCCTATCTGGTTGAATATATTAAATTATTATTTTTTGTCTAATGATGTGAAGAAAAGGGATTATTATAATGATGATACTGATGGTGGTGATGAAAAAGATCATTAAGATTTCATAATAACATGCGTGGTCTTTTTATTCTAACTGATAATAACCGTCAATACCACAGATTATGTTGAGGAACAAATGATGATAATATTCCTATTTTATCAAAGAAAAATGAAAGAACAATCCGTGTTCTAATGATGAAGATGATATTAGTGATGTTGATTATTGTAAGACAGTAAAATAAATAAAAAATATGAAAGTTTGCTGGTAACATTAATAAAATATCATTGTTATATATAAATCCTAAGAATCAAGAAATAATGGATAAAGAAGAAATTTGAATCGCTAAATAAAACTTATCCAATAATTATTCTTAATAATTCTAATAACACAAATAATAAATTAATTAAAAATAAATAAAATATTCTTTCTTTTCTTGCCACTTAGTTTTCTTTAGCTCCTGCTGTAGTCTTGTTTTTTATTTTCTTATAAGATATAATTATCTAGTTCAACTTTTCTAATTCTTTCGTTATTGATACTAAACTCGGGAATAATTGTTTTTTTATGGTAAACTGCGAGTATTGCAATGTTCCAACTGCATATTGCGGTTTTGAGTGACAAAATTTAAAAAAGTTACTTTATTAAGACTTTACAAATTTGGAAGGTAATACATTATTATATTATAATTATTATAAATACTATTACTAATTATTACCGCGCTTTTTTTTCGATCAAAGTTATTTTTTTTTCCTATATAATAAAAAAAAAAAATGAAGTTTACTAAAAAACACGATGAAATGCTTAAACAAGTTCCATGGATTCTTATTAAAGCTAAAAATATTAAAACTGATGATTTAATAGAAGATAAAGAACAAAAGGTTGCTGATGATATTGTAGTATTACTTGTAAAATCTGTATTCACAAAGAATTCGTACATTATACTTTTTACTGATTTAAAAAATGTTTGGTTCGAGGAATTATTTTCTGATGAAATTAAACAAAGGTTTCAGGAAAGTGTTTATTATTAATTGATTGATTGATTGATTGATTGATTAATAAGATCATGACAGCAAACAATAGTTAATTTTTTATATTTATATTTTTTATTTAAATTTCAATAGGAATTAAAAATTTCAATTGATAAAGATAATTTTTTTGAATATATTTTGTTTCTATCAGAATTTTTTTTAAGACAACAATTGGATGTCAAACATAAAATAAACAAGCAAAATGATTTAGTAAGGTTTTAAGATTTTAATTTTAAGATCGAGATTAAATTTGAGTTTTAATATTCTAAATTCAAATCCAAATTCAAAAAAATAAAGCTTTGTGTAGAATCTATAAGAAACTTCGGATTAATCGATTTGACATGGAAATTTAAATGTAAATCTATTACATCAACATCTCCTCCTTCATCTCCAAATTTAAATTCAACTTTAAAATCAGATTCATCCTCAAACTCAACATCGGATTTAAAGTCAAGTTCAACATCTTCAATAATTGATGCATCAACAATTTTATATAATCATATTATTTTACCTCAAATGATGGTTATTTGTTCATTTAATCAACTAATCAATTCATCATCATCGTCATTGTCATTTTCTGATAACAAAGATAACGGCAAAAATAACAGCAAAAATAATAACAAATCTGATCCTAATAAAGAAATTGAAAAGGTAAGTTGAATAATTGATAATTGTGGATTATTAAAAAAATCAATTTTAAAAACCATTAATTTTTATTTATTATTTTATTATTATTAAGATTATAATAGAAAATATCGAAAAATATCATATTAGTAATGATATTTGTGATGACAGTAGTAAAGACCTATTAAATATATTAGGAGATTCGAATATTTTAAATTTATTAAACTTTTCAACAAAAAATTTTATTAATTCTCAAGGTAATTAATTAAATAACTAATAATTTTATTATATTTTATTTTATTTATTATTTAAAAAATATTAAATGTTTTTTTAATTTTTCAGCATCGACAACTACTAATAATAGTGAAAAAATTGAACCAGAAAAAATAATTTCTTCAAATAGTAAATCTAATATAAATAATATTAATGAAGACGGTAGTAATGATAATGATAATGATGGAAAAGAAAAACATATCACAAATGAAATTGATAAAAGACAACAATTAAAAGAATTAATTCTAAAGAAATGTGAACATAACACTAAAAAAAGAAAAAAAATCCACTGATAATTTATTTAATTTATTTATTTATTATTTATTTATTAAAAGTTATTTTATCTTAATCACTAATAAAAACCAGCAGTATTAGAATGACATGGTGACAAAATCAAAGTTTATGGCACGTGTTAGAAAGTTTACAATTAAATTTTTTTACTATTTTAAAAGAGTATAAAATTATTTACAATATGGTTATTTCTCAAGACAATACAGGGTTGGTTACCTTTAAATCAGATGATAACCACGAAGAATCCTTTATCCTGAATTGGGTTGTAATCATTAATGAATTAATATTATACATTATTTTTTGGTGATGATGAATCATCTTTAGGTGTTAAAATGGTGCGTGAAACAATCTCATTGATAGATACAAAAGGGGGTTTTTTTTTGATTAATTAGATGCTTTTGTATTTTCACTGGATTAATACTAGGCTTCGAACAGTTAATGGCAGTAATCAAGGTATCGTTGACAAACCTTCAAAACAAAGAGTGTAAAATGCTTTTAATACATCAGATAATGCACAATTTATCCTCGTATACTTTGATACAGGGGTCATAAGGATCTGTTAAAGATTGTTGAAGTAAATTATTATAATATCATTTAATTATTTGTTGTGATTAACGAGGGTTTGTGATAACGGGATTGATTGCTACAACCGGGATGTATCAGGAATTCATAATTAATGAAAAAAAATATTTATATGCGACGCGCTTGAATTATCAAGAAGCCACACTTTGTGGTATTTACCAATTTTGCACCTACAAAAAAAAATAGAAAAGAAACAACACCCCAGTTTATTTGCTTATCATAAAAAGAAAGGAAGAGCTAACCAAGAATTAATTTATATCTTTGCCCTAAATATCTCGTATGGACTATTGGGTAATTTAGCATAATAAATTAATCAAAAAAAAAATTGGTGCACCTTTTGATAAAAAAGCCGCCCATCTTGCTATATACATGATATTTTAAAGAATTTGAAGTGAAAATTACCTACAGTTAGTTCCAAGTTAAAATTATTTCCATTAAATATAGTTTAAAATCCTCAATACTTTGACATGAGATTGAAGAGAATAATAACTTTGGAGATTATCACCATTACCTACGTTATTATTATTATTATCATTAACCCTATTAAATGGTAACGCATTCTTTATGAATTCCATTCTCCTCCTTATCATCAACTGTTTTTTATTATCTATCCTCTCCTCCTTTAACATTTAATTCATCATTATTTCTTGCTATGCCTAATCCTATTATTATCACCAACATTAATTCAATGATTTCAAGCCTTATTAAAATGTGTTTTATTTGGATTTAGAAACGCTACCTCTAAGAGAAAAATCAAATACTATGAATGGATTTCGTTATCCAAAATATGATAATGGTAATTAGAAAACCTTTTACACAGAAATCTATCAAAAGAAAAGGCCATAAAAAAGTATTTATCATGTACTATATCCTATTGAATTCGTGTATGTAAAAAATTTTTGTTTTTTCTTTTCCAGGAAAACTTTTATATTCATGTATATCAATTGAGATTTTTAAAAATTTTCACTAATTAATATTAACGTTTAGAGGCACATCTTTTAACGTGAATTAAAAATTATATATAATTTATTTTGAATGCGCGTTCATGTAATTTAGTTAGGATTTTTGCTGCGTGAACATTAGAAATACATTTTTTCAAAAAATCTTTCCATTACATTAAAGCTAAAGACTCAATTTGTCAATTAATGAAAAATAACTAGTTTGTTTATATAATAATAAAATAATAATAAATAAATAACTAGTTGCATATTAATATAGAGTATATTAGTATGTAAAAACATAATCTTTTGTTTTTATGTAAATAAGTGAATTCAATTATCCCAATAATAATGTTAATGCATACATTAAAAAAATAAACAAAGAAATAATAAAAATAATTAATTGCTAATATCAATAAAATAATAATATGAATAAAATATTAATTTTTTTAAATAAATATTTAATATTAATCTGTTAATGACTCATAAAATCTCTTTACTTTGTCATGAACCATTATCTTTTCTCTTGCAAAGTTTAAAACCTGTAAAGATTCCAATGATTTAGCTCGTGACAAAGCAACATATGCTTGCCCTATTTACAAAAAAAAATATAATAATTTATTATTTATTTATAATAATAGTTATATTATCATTATTATGAATATATATATAAATACCTTTTTCAAAAACCTCTTTCAAATCAATCTTGACTCTTTCCAGTGTTTGGCCCTGGCTTTTATGAATACTAATTGCCCAAGCAAGTATAAGAGGAATCTAATATTACATTAAATATATAATAAATACATATATATATTACAAAAAAAAAATTTCATGCATACACATAAATACAAAAATACCTACTTGTTGTCTACTTGCTGATACAACATTACCAACAGTTTCTAGTCTCCATTCAGCTTTACAAACAATCAATTTTCTATTTTCAGTAAATTTAACTATTGGCAATATTTCATCTTTCTGGTCAAACTCCACAATCTCATCTTCACCATCATAATAACTTTTTCTAGTATCTTTTGAATAAAAACCAACAATAACACCTCTACTCCCATTAACTAAATCATTATTGATCTTTTTAATAAGCATTACTTGTGCACCCCGTTTTAATTCCAGTTTATCTGGTGCCAAGCAACCTTTAATAAGTGTCTTTAATTGACCAATTTTTTCTGGTTCATAGTCTTTGGCATGATATATATATGGTTTATTTTGAATTTTACTTAAAAACACAAGATTTGCACTAGTTACTTTATCAATTTTTGAGTACCTTGTAATTTAACAAACAAACAAACAAACAAATATTATTATATAAGCATATTATATATATCATGAATATTGATCAACTTACAATTCTGTAACATGAATTCCATCATCAGGATATTGTGGTGGAAGTTTTAATCTATTCATGATTTCCAATGTTTTTTCAGTCACAATGCCCAATCTAATCTCATTTAACATACCAATAAAATCTATAGAATTAGAATTAAAAATTAGATCAATTTATCAAATAGATGAATTATTATTAATAATAAATATTTATTCTTTTACCAGACTCCTTCTGTCTAAAAACTGTTGACAATTGTATCATATGGTTTATACATTTAGTCCATGAGTTTGATTCATAACAAAATTTAATATTACAATCTTTAGAAACTGGTGGTAGTTGGAAAAAATCACCTGTGACTATTAACTAATAAATAATATATTTGTGTAAACATTAAAAAAAAACACCTCAAAAAATCATTAATCATTAAATATCAATCAATATATGTTATTATTATAACATACTAATATTCCACCAAATGGTCTATGATTATTGCAAATAGCTTGTGCAATTGTATCCAGTTTATCAAATAAGCCCCCATCGAGCATTGAGACTATATATAAATTATAAAATAATTAAATAAATAATAAATAATCAAATAATGATTATTATTTTCCATCAATTAGGTAAAAAAAAAACAATTATACCTTCATCAATAACCAATGCTTTAATAGATTTCCATTGGAGATAATGGATTTTTGATTTTTTAATTTTTTCAATAAGCTTTTCTGTTGATTCAGTTCCTAGCCCTATTCCTGCAAATGAGTGTAAAGTTGTACCAGAAATGTTAACTGCTGCTATGCCAGTCATAGCGGTCAGTGTTGTCAGCGGACGCGGACATGGACACGGACTGTCCGGTCCGGGACTGTCCGTGTCCGTGTCCGTCACTTTAA